CTAAACCTAACGTAAGTCAATAAACGAATCTGTTTATACAGGGCGTAATTGTTCCATATTTTAATTTGTGTTATAGACGTTTTTTGCCTGGAAAATAAAAATTTATGTTTTTTTTTTAATAGAACACCCTATATTTTATTTTTAGAATGACTTGTTGACACTATATTCAACCCTAGCATGTTTTGATAAAATATTACAGTTTTGCCAAACAATTATTTTTTTTTAAATTAGAGAATGATGCTAACCCCAAATTAAATTATTATAATTTAGGTAGGTTTACACTGATTTAAAAATTGTTAAATATACATACTTATATGATACTAAGCTAACGAATAGTGGTGATAGAACTGGTTTATTTTATTCAAAGTGTTTTGAAACGTGCCTTAAATATAGCTAATTTTAAGTTCAATTTACTCAATTTTTTTCAATGTATATTATTTTGACATAAAATTCTTAATACATTTACCTATTCAACGATACCAACATGTTAGCCAATAACACATATACAGGGTGTCCCATTAGTGCGTAATGGATTGATAGCTGTTTTATTATTAGAAATACAAAAAAAAAATAATATAAAAGTTGTATGGCCATATTTAACAATTACCCCTAAATATACAAGGTGGCCTATAAACGAGGTGCTGACCAAACCTATACTTTTTTAAAGCAAAACACCCTACAGGTAGTTATTCATATTTGATTGTTATCACATCGTCAAACAATTTTAATTAACTTCACTCATTTGCTATGTTGTATATAGGGTGTGTCAAATCGTGAGGTTACGATTTTCTCTATTTTTTAAATGGATTACCCTGTATCAATTAGTCGGTGGTATAATTTATAGGGTATTCCATTTAAAAACGCGAGAAAATCGTTACTCCCCATTTTGACACACCCTGTATACCCTATAGCAAATAAATGAAGTCTATTAAAATGGTTTGACGATGTGAAAACTATCAAATATGTATGTCTACCTGCAAGGTGTTTTGCTTTAAAAATGTATAAATTTCATCAACTACCCTCGTTTATTGAACACCCTGTAATTACACACTCATGGGATACAAAGTTTATGTGTTATTGGCTAATATTTTGGTATAGATAAATAAGCAATTTTATAAGGAATTTTAGGCAAAAATAATATACAGGGTGTTTTGTTTGAAAAAATTGAGTAAATTGAACTTAAAAATAGCCATATTTAAGACATGTTTTAAAACACTCTGTATAAAATAAACCAGTTCTATCACCACTATTCGTTAGCTTAGTATTTTATAAGTCTGTATATTAAACAATTTTGAAATCAATGTAAACCTACCTAAATTATGATAATTTAATTTGGGGTCTGCATCATTCTCTAATTAAAAAAAAAAATGAATTGCTTGGCAACACTAATATTTTTTAATACATTTTAGGGTTAAATACAGTATTACCAAACTATTCTAAAAACAAAATAAAATACAGGGTGTTCCATTTAAAAAACATACATTTTGATTTGCCAATTCAATATTCAAAAATATTTTTAAAATATGTATTTTTCAAATCCATATAATTTTTATTTAAAACTTTTTTGCGTGTCTACAACACAAATTCAAATATTGAACAATTACTAATGGGACATCCTGTATAAATTATATTATTATTAATGAAAATTTCTTAGAATGTGGTACTTACCGGTTTGGGTCCTTGGTAAAACGGAAGAATGTTTTCTTGCAGGTATTACCCACCCTTATTAAAACAGCTTTTGACTGCATAGACAGAATGATGTCTTTTTTTCACTCATTCTACTCACAGTTAAAGAGTCACCAAAATAATAGTATCTTTAACTTAACACAACAGGCAGCTCAAACAAAATCAACGAAATTATAGGCTCAATGAAATTATGCAATCAACGAAATTATACACATGGCTCAATCCTTACCTAAGTACGATTCTGAACGCCAAAGCCATCTTTTCCGTCCGAAGGAGGAGCTTAAGCAATGCGCGACGGAATCGACGCAAACCGTTGCCGCCAAGAGAGTGTTTTAGCTGTATTGTATAAGCTGTGGTTTTACGTTGATGAAGCTCTGGTGTGGTCTAAGTTCGAAATAAGCGATTTGAGACAAAAGCGCGAATATTTTAAAATGAGAAAATGAAAGTAATTCATTCTGCAACAGTTGCAGTAATGTATAGTTAAAATTGTGGTATTTGAAAGTTGAAGAACACGGAAATGTTTAAAACTTAAAACTAGTGAGAAAAATTAATTATATGATAATCTAAGAGTTAGACTTACGTAATGTTAGTCACGCTGGTAGAGTCAATGAGTTTCCAGTTCAGGTAGATGTAAACATAACTTTTGATTTAAAATTATTGGCGTTCCTGTAATATGATAAATGATTTCTAATCGAGGGGTAAACCACTGAGGGTATAGGTATACAAAGAGGAGGATTTACGAGGATGTATGAGGATTTCTCGAGGATGTATGAGGATTTTTCGAGGATGTATGAGGATGTACGAGGATTTAAGAGGATGTATAAAGATTCCTCGAGAATGTATGATTTCTTGAGGATGTACCAGGATAAAAAAATGTTTAACATACATTTATTTGCCCTAAAACAATCAAACATTTTAAATTGCACCAAATAGGCCATTTGATAGAGTGGATTTTCCTATGAAAAAATTAGAATAAATTATTGATATGTTGGCCTAATTCATTATCCTGATATCCTTTCATTTGTTCCCGGGCTATCTGGCTTCCATTTTTAGGGACAATTTAAAAAATGTTGCGCAGACGACTAATCTCAAATAAAAAATTCTAGTCCATTCGATATCTAGAGGATATTTGTAATGGAAAACCATGCATTTTGCAAGGCTTTCATTTCGCGAGCGCTTCGGGCCAAACGAATGGCCGTATTAAAAATTTTTAAATCCGCATTATACCAGAATAAATACAGTTTACAATAGTTTTTTTTTTTTCGAATCGATAGGTAAGCGCTCAAAATCGGCTATTTGTAAATTTCATCAAAGGGGCCCCTATTTTGTTGCACTTATAATTTTACTTGAAAACTGATTAGAAAAAAAAATGCTTCCCGTCAATCAATCAGAAATTAAGTCTGTTCATGTTACCCAATGTGCTTATTTTTAATATTAATACGGCATGACTAAGACGCAATTAAAGAAATACGGTGTTAGATTAAGAAATTCGGACACATCGCACCTTTAATCATAAAGTGGCACAACTAAAAAATGCTAGTTTCGTAGAATCTGCCAAAAACTGTTTTATATTTGGAGCTGTCTTAGTATATTTGAACTTTGAGAAAATTTACGAAGTATTATGAATAAATGAAATATGAGAAATGGTTAAGCAATATTTTAAAGATGTATGTATGATTTAGTTTTTTTTTAAAGAAGAAAGGAAAAATGGTTTTACTGTTAGTAAGAAAAAAAATTCACAATTATGTCACTTTAGTAATAAAAAGAATATGTATCAATACGAAATGTGTCAATTTATGACTAAAAATTGCATAACGATTTTAGTATTATTTTGGAATAGTTCTTTTTTGGATTATATTAATAAAATATTTCAAGTAAAAAAGCAAAAAATGACTCTTTAGAAGCAAATTTGCAAAGAATGCTATTTCAAACCCTGTCACTATTGGCACACAACTAACATTATGTCGCTTTAGATCTAAAATACCTTAAAAAATCCGATAGAACTAAACTGGCGCAAATATAAATTTGCACTTCCTGGCTGACTATTTCAACGTAGGTCGAAGTTACCTCAATAGATAGTACTATTTTGGATCGTTTTATTACCAAAACTCAAAATCTCAAAATTCTGATTTATGCCACTTTATGACTAAAGGTGCGACATATTTTGTATAGGTACTTAAATACTCTAATGAACATATACCAATTTTAATCGAATTCTATGCTAGCTCGCTTCGCTAATACTGATAAACTGACTCAAACAGTGTGCTTTTGCAATAAATTTTAAACAAAAGTTCAGATAGAAAATTTCTCGGAAAATTTTTATATACAATGTGTTCCTGTATTATTTTGTACGTATCTCGAAACACGAGTCTTTATTATTTCGAAGTAACTAAAGATATTCATACATGTTTCTTTTTGCAACATAACTGAAGTGGTTGGCTGTCATCCTAAGGCGCTCAGTTGTGCCAACACTTACAAACGAATGACACCAACTATGTAGTGGTTAGTAAGCCAACAACGGGCCACTTAACCTAATATCTTACAGTTCCCGTTCTTACAATTGCTAAGAAAATCTATATTGCCTTTTATGGGTAAATTATCCTGTGGGATATAGCCCAATAAAGGAAGAAAAAGAAGATATTGCCTTTTATGCATGAGACATTTTAGTACCAAATCAAGGGACTATTTTTTTGTTGTACGCAAAAAATGAAAACTGCAATAAAACACCACATAATATTTAATAATTTCCAATATGTAATATAGGGTCAACCGGGGCTAATATGATACAAAATTCAATAAATTTGCAAGAAAAACTGTTTTTTTTTTTAAATTTAGGTAAAATAAAAAATCGTATGTTGTACAGAATTGCATTCCCTTTAGTTTTCTACTACTATAACTTTTTTAAAGCTAATGGACAAACTTAAAAAAAAGCTGTGTATCATAATTGCCCCTCCTTTGGGGCACTCTAGTGAGTATTTTTAATTCAACGGGGCTATTGTGATACACTGCAGTTCTTTATCAAATTCCCATATAAATTTGGTTTTGATATGACTAGCGGTTTTAAAGATACGGGAGTTTAAGTAAAGCGTTTATAAAAAAGGCAGAAATATATGAATCTTACAGCAATAAAATATTGTATGAAAGGTAAGGTAAGATATTGGTGAAAACAGAAAAATACAAACATCATTAGAACATATTTTTATAAAGCATAAACATCAAATAGTATGAAAAACTAAAAATACATCAATAAATTCTCTTTTGTATTCTAGATAAAAGAAATAATGAAATTATTACACTAAATTGCCTCATATATTGGGACTAACTTATCAAACATAAATTTTTCTGTTCCTAAATAAAATGCAGTTGGGAGGAGGTAATTTTGCAATAATATCTTCGGAATCGAAGCATATGTTACTGTCCTTCTTTTTAAAAGTCTTTTTGTCCATATCCGACCTTAGTCCCATTACTTCGATATCGTTCTCTACGATTTGTGTTACCTGCACCACATATTTGTAGTTGACTGAATTTCTCAGCCCCCCTTTAAACTTTGCAATTAAAAAGTCCCCCACTTGTATGTCGTCAGGTCTTAGCAACTCTACGTAATCCTCGGATTGAGGCTCAAAAATATCTACATCCATATCACTGTCGCTATCTATAATTTTCTCGTAAATCTCCTCTTTATCAGAACTTGAGTCGCTGTCAATTGTCTGGTCAGGTGTTACTAATTTTGAATTCTACTTAGCTGTATTATCTTTATTTTCTATATTTTCTTCTTCAGGCTGTGAAACACTTGCTTTGTTAGGTGTAGCCTCGGGTGTAGCCCTCGCTTTTTTAACTATTTTTTTCCACTTATTAAGTATTTGTCCTTACCGGTTGCACCTGATTTATTTTTATCCGCTTTAGCCTTTTCCTTTATTTCCTCTGCATACTCTTCAGATGTAATAACTTTGGCTAAAGGATTAATCTTTTTTCTTCTCGCTTTATTAGGGTCTGTTTTACCTTTAAAAAGGTTTATAATTACGCTTTGAAAGGATCTTGTAGGTGTCGAAGTACCAGATGTGGTTGGTGAACCTGTAGCAAGCTCAACTGGTAATTTAGGAAATTTTATTGCAGAGTCTGCCGATGCTTTTGATGTAGACGGTTCATTTAACCAGTCTTCTTCGATGATACCGTCCTCAGAGGTATCATGGGGATTGGCGATAGGAGCATCCTTGTTCTGTTTATACCTTTCGTATTTTTCAGGATTAAATCTAGATGTCGGATATTTTGTCCTATCTAGCGGATATATTCCGGTTGACCGAAAACCCGAAATTATGATTTCAGGCGTCAAGCCATCGGGCCAGACTTCACAGAGCAAATTAACGAATTCTTGTTTCTGCATCTTTATATGGTCCTTTCGATACCACTCTATTAAAGCAAGATCCCATTTGTATTTTAGAGATCTAAAACAACATTTGTCTAGAGGTTGGAGTAGATCTGTTGTGTGCGCCGGAAGTTTAATGATAGTTATGTTTTCTTCACGTGCATGCTAATTTATGGTCTGGTCGAAATGAGTCATGTGATCATCAAACAGTAAAAGTACCGGCGGTCTCTCCTTAACTTTCTTACAAAACTGCTTGAACCAGTTCTGGAAGATCACTGACGTCATCCACCCGTTCTAGGAACACGAATAAAATGTACCAGGAAGGTATTTATCTCCTTTCCACGTAGTCCAGACATTTGCTGACTGAAATATTATCAGCGGGGATAAGGCAGTTCCGTTCGCTGATACACACGCGAGAACAGTAGTGTTTTCATGTTCAATACCTTCTATGTGCTGATAAGCTTCCTGTCCTATTTTAGAAAGACCATTGATGCGGGACAGATCCGCACAAAAACTGGTTTCATCTAAATTGTAAATACAGGCAGGTCGGTCATGCAAATCAAGGGAATTTAGTTGTTGTTCAACCAAATCGTAAAAATTGTAAATAACGCCCAGTGGCAATTCTTGATTTTTCAAGTCGATCCAACCTTTTCAGACTTAGCCGATTTCTGACACAGAAGAGTTTAAACCAATCAGGTCTAGGCATGTTGTTTTTAAAAGGCACTTTAATATCGTTTTCTTCTACGTAATTTTTAACGACTTGCATAATTCTACTCTACCGATGGCAAATCCCCAATGAGCCAATGTTTTAATGTGTTCTGTAAGTTAAGTTTCTTCTTCTGCAGAAAATATAGTGGGGTGACCAGGTTTTCTTTCGGTTACAGGGGTTTGCCCCATATCTTCATCTTCATTGATTCTTCACTAACTGCTTCTCTTCTTTGCTCTGTTTTTCTTTCTTAGTTTTATATCTGTATAAATACATTTTCTCTATCTTCAAATCTCGAGCCACACTTCGTTAGCTTCTCTCTGGCTTTAATTCTTTTAAGTGCTGTTGCTAAAGTTTCTTTAGGGTATTGTTTTCGCACACCTTTAGGTTTATAACTTCGAACCATCTTAAAAACGTGGACTTGAAAATGGATGTTGTAATAATCACTTAGATTAACCTGAAACAACGAGAAATCTGTATTGTACTAGAGCATATTCATTCCCGAAAAAAAAATTCAGTCAAATCTAAAAAAGATTATTTAAATGGTGTTTTTAATGGGGATGAATATGGTAGGTTAGGTTATATCCAAACCAATGTTTGTATCACAATAGCCCCATATTCTGTATCACAATAGCCCCAAGTTGTGTATCATAATAGTCCCTTAACTTAATGAGCTAATATAGCTATTACAGCTTATGGTTAGGCTAACCAATTTTAGAGAAAAATAAAGCTTAAGACATATTTTTAGGTTCTGTAACAAAATGGATGTAATATAACCATATAAATCAACGCCAAGTAAAATTCACCCAAGTTCCAAAAATTTTTGGTGGAATAAAAAAGCACTATTTTTTCCATATTTTTTTAAGATTTTTTTTTTCAAAATTTTAGCAAAAACAAATATGAGGTCAGTGTTATAATGCTTTTTATAATCTACTGGATTTTTTTCATGCAGTATATTATACCCAAAACACGTGTTTGTTTGGTGTATCACAATAGACCCGAATATTTGAGTGTATCACAATAGCCCCGATTGACCCTAATAGAAGAAACATGTAAAGAGAATAAATACATAACTGTAGAAAGAAACTCAATTTAAACTTGCACATGTAACTTCTAATGACTTCTATTACATTATTCTAAAAAAATTATTAAAATTGGCTGAGAGCCAATTTCACATGTATTTGGTGCGGGGTTCTCTGTCTTGTTTGTGGAGAAGACGGATCATTTCACATATTTGTCCGTCAATCAAGATTAGTTTATTGGTTTTCATTTTTCCGTTTAATATTGTAAAATCACGTCATCGTCCAATACTTTTTTCTCTGATTTGGCGTTGATATTTTTATCTTTAACAGTTTACATGGTAGGTAACTATTTAAAAATGTTGAAATAATACCGTTGTGAATTTCTTTGAATAAATGTTTACCATCGACGATAAAACTGTATACTGCAATAGATGTTATCAACAGTCATTCAGTTTTATGATAATCCTTACTCTACTCATTTCTTGTTTAATGTAGGAAAAATGATAATCTCTTCGATTGATCCTGAATAAACCGTATATGGGAAACACGTACCACCATTTAATAAAATAAAGATCTAATAATATACCCTATAGCATCGCATAACCTTAAAATTTAGTTACCAAAGTAAACGTCTATACATAATTAAATTTTAACCCCAACATCTGCCGCTAAACTGAACTCACAGGATTAGGCGTTCACTTGGAATAAATTGGATAAATGAGTAATGAATAATCTGCATAGAATCCGGATATTTTAGAAATATTTCAAATCATGGATATATTTCCATTTCATAATGGTATCTTGATTAACAGAAATAACATTTTTTACTTTTTTACGATAGTTATGACTTATGACAAATGATTCAAGAGGATTTATCGAAGTGTGTGAAAATGTAATACATTTGAAAATACTAGATTGTATTTCGATGAAATAATAGCTATTTATGTAACCAGTTAAGAAATGACTTATTTTGTGTAACGATTAAATATTTGCGGGACGAGCAGAACGAGGTACCGCAAAATGAACGAGTTATACAAGACGGCATTTCGTGACGTGTTACATACAAGATTTTTTTCAATAGTAATAATAAAAATAGGGGATATGTGCAGTGTTGCCGATTTGATTTTTGACATATGCGGGAAATTTGAAATAAAAAAACGTTTTTACCCGTTTTCCTTAAAGGAGTACGTCAAAATGATCAACATTTCTGGACAATTTTCAATAACGGTGTTTAATTAGTTAAAAAATAAAACGCAATTTGCAGCTTTTATTTTTTTGTTGTTAAACGTAATGTTAAATTTTCAAACGTGAAATGTCACTATTCATTTCGATTTTTCAATTTGTCGATTTTTTAATTTTTCTATTTTTCTATTTTCCGATTTTTCGATTTTTCGATTTTTCGATTTTTCGATTTTTCGATTTTTCGATTTTTCGATTTTTCGATTTTTCGATTTTTCGATATTTCGATATTTTGATTTTTCGATATTTCGATTTTTCGATTTTTCGATTTTCCGATTTTTCGATTTTTCGATTTTTCGATTTTTCGATTTTTCGATTTTTCGATTTTTCGATTTTTCGATTTTTCGATTTTTCGATTTTTCGATTTTCCGATTTTTCGATTTTTAGATTTTTCGATTTTCGATTTTTCGATTTTTCGATTTTTCGATTATTCGATTTTTCGATTTTTCGATATTTCGATTTTTCGATTTTCCGATTTTTCGATTTTTCGATTTTTCGATTTTTCGATTTTTCGATTTTTCGATTTTTCGATTTTTCGATTTTTCGATTTTTCGATTTTTCGATTTTTCGATTTTTCGATTTTTCGATTTTTCGATTTTTCGATTTTTCGATTTTCCGATTTTTCGATTTATAGATTTTTCGATTTTCGATTTTTCGATTTTTCGATTTTTCGATTATTCGATTTTTCGATTTTTCGATATTTCGATTTTTCGATTTTCCGATTTTTCGATTTTTCGATTTTTCGATTTTTCGATTTTTCGATTTTTCGATTTTTCGATTTTTCGATTTTTCGATTTTTCGATTTTTCGATTTTTCAATTTTTCGATTTTTCGATTTTTCGATTTTTCGATTTTTCGATTTTTCGATTTTTCGATTTTTCGATTTTTCGATTTTTCGATTTTTCGATTTTTCGATTTTTCGATTTTTCGATTTTTCGATTTTTCGATTTTTCGATTTTTCGATTTTTCGATTTTTCGATTTTTCGATTTTTCGATTTTTCGATTTTTCGATTTTTCGATCTTTCGATCTTTCGATTTTTCGATTTTTCGATTTTTCGATTTTTCGATTTTTCGATTTTTTGATTTTTCGATTTTTTGATTTTTCGATTTTTCGATTTTTCGATTTTTCGATTTAAAAACCGAAAAAGAGGCATTTTTATTTATTTTCATTTCGTAACTGGTGACATTATCAACTTTTCGTAATCATTTGCATAATGTTCTACTTTATGCAAATGGTTGCATAAAGTAGAACCTTTTGACACTTGCTGCGACACTCGTTCTGTAAAAGGTCCGGTACGAAAATATCATTTACATACAGGGTGAACACTTTTTCTCAGGGACAGTATCACGGTTAAATGAGAAAAAAGTTTTGAGTTTAATAAACAATTTAATCATGAAAGAAAATAGACGACATTAGAAACGGTTCTCAGGTCAATGGAATAAATGAAGTGGGGCCATTTTCTTATTTTTATTATAGCGTTTTTATTTGTGTAATTCAAAAAATAAAGGGATTTCCTGTTTGATTTTGCGTCTACTTAAATAGTTAAAGCAACATATCCTATAAAAAGTTTGGTTTCTAAAGAACCATCACCAACTTTAGCAATACTGT